TGAAGAGGCGGGTGGGCCCGATCCCCGGGCTGGAGAAGCGGGTTGTGTCTACACTGGCAGCTTCTTGCACAAGAACGTCTTGTGCAAGGGTTCTTGTGCAAGAAGTCTTGCACAAGAAAACGTGCACACTGCCACGTGCCAGCTGTGCGTTTGCACAAGAGCATCCAGGGCAGTGCGGGCGCTCTCTCAAACAGGAAAGCTTTGATGGCCACTTTAGCCATAGGGCTTTCTAGCCCAAGAAACCCCTGCCCAGTGTCCACACTGCCCTCTTGCACAAGAGCGCTTACACTTGTTAGACAACAGCGTAGCCCTTGTGCAAGAAGCCCTCTCTTACCACGCCGTACTGTAAATCGTCTTGCGCAAGAGCGGGCGGGCAGTGTGGACGTTCTGCGGATTCTTGCACAAGAGCAACTGTTCTTGTGCAAGAACCCGCCAGTGTAGACATAGCCTTAGCTGCATCTTATAGGTAGCTCTCAAGACATAAAAGTCAGAATACAGTTGGTGAAGTGGGAGAGATCAGATCTGTTTCAGTAAATACTGAGGGGGTCGCAGTACACTTCAGATGTGTCCCACACACACGCACGGTGGTGTCATGCATTTGACCAGTGCTTCACTCTAAGCAAATTAGAAAGAAATGTAAAGGCAAAAAAAATGCATGGGAGGATGATGCACTGGTGATGATGGAGGAGCACAGGTTGTCATTAGGTCTAATCGTTTTACAAAACTAGGTTCTACAGTAGAATGGCTTGGCACTGGAAATTAAAAAGTAAATTGCAAAATAGATACAGATTTGAATCTCTGTACTCCAGCACTCTCTGGTCTGGCAACGTCTGTGGTTTGGTGTGATTTTAGTTAGCTAGATGTCCACTTGTCACGCGGGGAGCCAGGTTTCCCATGGTCCCACAAAGTTTTACAGCCACTAGCTTTGGCGCTTAGTGTCCTGTGCCGTTATTTTGCTCTAATTTACCCCTAAATGTCTTCTAAGAGCTCAGTAAGCAGTAGAAGTTCCACAAATTCTTTGGTTCAGCACAAGTCAGATCCCAAGGGTACTGAACTAGAGAGGTTAAACCTGTACTAGAGTCCAATTCAGTGTAATCGAAGCAGGTGCATGTGAAATGGTTAGTGACTGCTTCATGTTAAATATTAAAACCACACCTTTAAAAATAATTTTGGATGCATACCAAAGGGTTTTGGAACTTGATAACATCCAGAATTGGATCTTTAACTCCCTTTTTATTTGGAATTGCCTCCACACCAAAGAATCATGCCCTGTTCCTGGCTCTGACACTTCCCGTACCACACACCAAAGTTTTATTTCTATAAAAAATGATAAATCCCGGAAACTATTTTGATTTAATTTTGCTTGCAGGTTATTTCGTCACTGAGAATTTCCTTGAATAAATGAATAGTAACTGCTCACCATGTCCCTCAGTCAAATGCCAGTTACTGGGCTGCCAGCTATATCCACACCAGAGGGCAGAAAAATGAAAGGTAGCTTATCTCTGGTACCTGTCAGCAGGACAAATGCAGGTAAATCTTAGCTGGGGTCCAGATAGTGCTTTATTAACTATAAGTGGGGCACTCCTTAATAGTCGTTCACAGATGTCTCAGTCACCATGGCTTTTGCAGGAAATTGACCTTTAGCAATCCCTACTAAGAGGTTGATAAACAAGAGAGTGCAGTCTGAAAGTGGGGAGTACCTTCTTGTTTTTATATATTCACCATGTTCAGGTGGATCATGTAACTCTTACATTTACATCTGTGGTGTGAATATAATTTCAGCCCTGAGCGGACACAAAAGTTGTATCCACATCTGATCTGCCATCTTCAAAAAATGATCTCTTTGGAGCCTTCTGTGCTGCCTGTTTGCTGATGCTGAAATTCTCACAGAAAGCCTCTTGCTACATTCTGAACAAGTGGTGATAGCATTGCCTGCAGAAGAGTGACAGTAGTATTTTTACAGTGGGCTCATGCTAGAGAGCTACTTCCATGGGGCTAATTCATAATGATGGGATATGGTGACACTTACTGAAGATCTATCAAACAATATATGAGAATGGGGCCAGCTGACCATATTGTTTTGAAAGTGATTTTATTTTCCTCACCATCAAAGTGTATCAACATCTCCTGGATAGTTTTTTCTCCCTGCTGTTTTCCAGAGCTCCCTGAGCTAAGAAACAAATCGAGTATTCTGGACCGTTCAGGGCGTCTTCCCACTTCCCTACAGTGTGATTTCATCCCAGAAGAGATTCTCCTAGCATTGACCTCTGCTGCCAGTACTGCCTATAGCCCTGAATACTTAAGACCCCCCAAGAAAATCAAAAGTGCAAAGGACTTCAAGGTAAGTAATTACCTTAAGAAGAATAAGACCTGTCCAGATTGTCCCACTTAGATATACTAGCATAGTATCCAGCTGTGTTACCAAAAAGTTAAAGGATCACTTTAGTGCAGCATGTCTTTATTTCAGCAGCTAAAAGTTTAACTGAAATTAGTTTAGCATATGGTTTTATTAGAACAGTGTGACTGTTCTGTGTTTCTATTGGCTAAAAGTGACTTGTTTCAATGGTTACATAAACTTGTTAAACTTATATTGCATCTATCTTGTAATTACCATAACCTTAATTTTAACTGGATTTTAATCTATCTGAAACAGGGTTTTTTTTCATTTACTTACCATAAAGTGCCTAGCACACTTTCATGTTGTTAAACTATTTTGTCTACCTCAGTGCTGGCTTTTTCTGGAGACACAGAGATATCTGTAAACTGGTTAGGTTGTTGTTTTGGTCTTTTCCACTTCTTAGAAAATTTATTATTACTATTATGATTTATATTGCACCATAATGTGCATAAAGCTTCACAGTTGTTTACTGTGCCAGACAAAAGTATTATTCTTGTTTCAGAGAGGTAGCTGTGTTAGTCTGTTTCAGCAAAAACAGCAATGAGTCCAGTGGCACTTTAAATACTAACAAATGCATTAGGGTATTAGAGCATAAGCTTTTGTGAGCTACAACTCACTTCCTCAGATGCTGAAGAGAAAAAGACAAGAAAATGCCCCATCCATTCTGATTGAATTAGCACGGAGGTCACAGTCCCATGTCTATATCCGTTTTACCCGTCTTTTTTTATTTTTAAATTTAAATCATTGCTCTGGGCTGGGGGTAGGGACGAAGGGTTTATTATGCAGGCTGCCCTGGGGAGAGAGGACTACCCCACCCCTCTCTTGCCACAGCACGTTGGAACCAGATGAGAAGTGCCTCTCCATGACCACTGCAGCTCCAGCAGCCACAGCTGGGGTAGGGGTGCATGTCCCTTGGCTAAACAGACAAACTCTGAAATATATAGTAGATACCTGTCCCTTTCTCCACTTCTACCCCCTGCTGGCCCAGTGGGGTTATAGCTGTCCCTATATCTGGCATTGTCCCCATAACTATCCCTGCCTTCCATCCCATATCCCCTGCTGCCCCCATGTGGTTGTGATATAGCAAAGCCCTCCCTATCAGTTTTATGAGAAGAAATCACATTCCAGCCACATCCTCTTCTCCTGGCTCAACCAAATCCTTACCTTGCTTTAACTTATGATAAGAGGAAGCTGCATGCCAAATTTAATGTTTAGGAGGAGTGCTTGAACAAACAGATGGACAGACATACAGACAAACTCAAATATATAGTAGATTCCTAGGGAATTTAGCAGTGTTTATTCCAAATGTTAAAAAATGAGTGACAATCAATGGGAAAAAAATTAAGTTACTGGTTTTCTGGATAATAAAGGATTAATAACCGGGAATGAGAGAACAGAAAAATCAGCAAGTGGAGACGAAACCCAGGTTTACTAGGGGAAGTGGTCACGGACTATCACCCAACTCCCAGTTTATTTTGCTCTCTGCTGTGCAGGGGAAACACATGGGTTTGTATTCAACAGCTGGGGTCAAGAGGGCCCTCAATCCAGCTGGAGGTCAGGTTGCAGTCTTCTACTCCCTGTGGCCCTGTTTCTGCAGGGCTCAGCTCATCTTGGCTGCTGGGACCAGATTTCCTACCTGTCTGGCTGCCCCACAGCCCAACTGTAGCAATTATCAACCATAGGTTATCCCTTTCTGTGAAGGCATCTGGTGCTTCAATACTGGATTTCCTAAACCTGGGAATTTTAAAGAAATTTAGTAACAAGCAAAAATATGAGGCCAGGGCCCTATCTGTGTACAATTGTTAGTGGCCATTTTGCCATTTGCCTTCTAGTGTGTAAATCTTCCCATTTCTCTTTCTGTCTCTCTGTGTCAGTGGTATTGTTCTTGTCAGCCACCTAAGCATAAGCTGCAGTGACTCAGCTCTCTACAGAACCCCCTGGAATGATGGGCAATCTTTATTTGTCTCATGGCCCTACAGTGTTCCACTGAGAAGTGGTGTTTGTGCTTGCTCTTCAGGGGAGCATGCGTGTCCCAGATGGGCTCTGGCATCATCCTATTCGCAGAAACAAGTTCAGATACCTCATAGATCATCCCATCTGTCTGACAGGAGCTGGAAGGTAGGCTAATATGGGGTAAAGGAGCAGAGCCAGGTTTACTATGGCACCATGGAGCTGGGCCCATGCTCAGAAAGGGCCCCAGACTGCTCTATTTGCACTGTACCCCAAGACCCCGCTGGCTTCCCTGACCCACTACTTGCTCCTTTCAACCTGCCCACTTATTTAGGACTCCTCTCTGCCACCTGGCTCCACCCACCTGCTGCTCTCTGTCTCCTCTTCCTGAGGCAGAATCCCACTGCATTTCTGACTCCAGCTAGTCTCTGCTTCCCATCACCTCTGGGGCACTGCCTGTCTCTCCAGAGCTGAGCTGCCTGTGACTGCTGCAGAATCCTAGCCAGTCTTTCCCAGGTGTGTGGGAGGTGATGGGGGGCTTGGCTGGGCCCCTCCAGGCAAGTGTGTTTTGAGGGAGCCTATTGGAGGCAGGCCTGGCTTAGCTGATTGTGCCACTCCCAAAGGTCTGGAGCAATTCCCTGCTCCAGTACCAACCCTGACTGTGCAGCCGGCTCAAACCAGCAGTCAATCACCTCCCAGCAGGGCCAGTGAGTGCAGCCAGGAGGCAGGGTGTGGGGGAGTGGGTCTCTAGGAGGATATGGGGGAGTGCTGGGCTGTGAGGTGGTGGAAAAGATGTGTGTGGGGGGGGGACTAGGGAGTAGGGGTTATGGGCAGTTGTGATGGGGCTTTGGGCAGGGGGCATTGGGTAGCGATGGTGTGCAGGGTGCTGTGCTTCTGGCAGGGCTGTGGGGGACTCTGGCCATAAGGACCTGGGGGTTGTGGGGTGTGGCGTGGCCCTACATTCAAGGGGAAGAGGCATGCTGGCAGCACATGTCCGGGTGGCCCACTGTATGTCTGACAACTGCCAGTTTGTATATAATGCCCTTGTATTGGTCTGGGTGGAGCAGTCCCCACCTTGGCATGCCTCTAATTGGCCCCTTGCTCTGGGGACTGACCACACTACGCCATGCTCCATTATCCCTTTGGGTGCCTAAAATATGTTTGGCTCCAGGCTCACAAAAAGTTAATCCAGCCCTGTGAAAGTGGAGAAAGACGAGGGCTGGGAACTTCCCTCCTCTTCATATCCAATGGCTGTGATGGCAAACACTCAAGTTTTGGCTGAGAAATACGCAAGAGGAAATGCTGCTCCACAATCTGGAGAGATTTTTCAGGGCAAGGTGTTTTCTTTTTGGAATTTCTCTTTTCCAGAGGAGCCAAGTTCCGCACATACTTATATAATCCAGCATTGCTATGAGGAAGCCCTGCCTTTCTTTAGATGTGGAAGAGGTTGCAGCTCTCTTATAGCCTTATGGCAGCTCCTTATGATTTAACATTGCTTTCGTCATGCCAGGGAATCATATGCGGTCCCTACCAGAAATTAGACACACACATATGTTGGTACATCAGTGGTGACATGTCCAAAAAGTAACACCTGACCAGTGTTATTATGGACAATTGTTCCTGGCAAATTCACCTTCAATGAAATGATTAAGCTGACTAAAAATATCACTGTCACTCTTCACTGTCCAAGTGTAAGATTCCAGGTATAGCCTTTATCAGGATACACAAATAATCCTCCCTTGAATTGTAAGACTAGCAAACGGAGTGCCTGGTGCTGATGAGCTCCATGAACAAGCGCTTTCTCTCTATTTCCTCAGGGATGTCTCTTTTCTATTTGATGTAGCTGGAAAAGAAGATGAAAGAAAGAAATCTCCAGCAAGATTGTTACCCGAACCACATCGTTTTGACTCATCTGTGACTAGTACTGTGAGTGCCAGAGTTTGTGCTAAAGGCAGCCCTGCGGTTAAGGGGCGGAGCGGGCGGAAGCAGGATCCCGCTTAATTAGTTAACTGGTTAAACCTAAGATTTAACCAATTAACTGATTAACTGGGATTTTTACATCACTCGTTGTGACCTGGGGGAGGGAGTGGAATGCCAGGTGTCTTAGGTGACACTCAGCCAGCAGCTCAGTGGGACCCTCAGGCAGGCTCCCTGGCTTTCATGCCCCCCACATGCTGCTCAAAACATCCAGCTACTTGAGCCTGTATGTGCATTTCTGTACTCTGTGCCTCTTGGGAGGGACTTCCCTGCACTGCCTGCACCACAGACATGGCCTGGGCAACTCCCATTGGCTGGTTTCTGGCCAATGAGACCTGCGAGGAGTGTGCTGGGCAAAGGGGCAGTATGTGAAGTCTCCCTTCCCATGGGCATGCAGCACAGAGAGGCACATGACCCCAGCAACCAGCTGCTTTGAGTGGTATGTGGGGGAGCAGTAGGTGAGGAGCCTGCCTGAGGGTCCTGCTGGGCTGTTGGAGACCCACAGGATCATGGTGAGCTGTGTATCTGTCCCTGGATTTAGGGCTGATTTTCTACTCAGCACAGTATTTTAATCTGATACTCTTTAACCTAATAACTCCCCTTTTTTGTGCTTATAAAATTTCTTCAGCACCAGAAAACCTTCCATCGCAGTCAGAATTCAGACGCACATTTATTTTATGTTGTTAATTTACATTTATTTAGATTTATGAAGTGCAGCAGTCATCCACGATCTAAATACATACGTGGAGAAATGAGAAAGCAGTCCCAAAAGCTTGTGCATGAGGCTTGCTCTCTAAGCAGCTGCAACAGATCTCTCTTCTGGGGTGACACTGGGGATTGGTGTGCACCTTTTACCAATGTGTTTCCTGTTCTAATGTCTCCATTCTGTTCTTTGTAGACAAGTGTAATAGGGAGCCTGGTCCCTGAAGAATTTCACATTGTGAAGAACAGAGGAGTCTTGGGCTTGGAGTATTACGATGAGTGAGTGCTTGTATGGCTTACAGCGAATTCTCCTCACTGTTTAATGGCCTGCATTGCACGATGGAGTGGGGCAAGGTAACAAGGCCACAAATACTGGCCAAGTGGATGCAACCTAATCAAAGGGAGAAGAGTATATTAAATCTGATTGAGCAGTTGTGTGAAGATCTTATTTAGAAAAAGGGCTGCAGAAGAGATGTCAGACAACACCTTTTCCCAGAAAGCTGTCTAAGCAATGCCCTTCCTGGCTAAAGGGGGCCAAACCTGTCTTTGTTTTTCATTCCTCTGACTACCTCCCAAGTGCTGGCTGGGCTGTCACATGTATTTCTGATTGGTTATGAATGTGGCTATAGAAATTTCACGAGACCACATAATTACAGAAATATAGCCTATGGGCTAAAAATGTCTTCAAGAGGTCATCTAGTCCAGTCATTTTAGGGCAATTCTGAAAAACTTCTTAAGGTTGCTGTTGACTTTTACATGAGTTCAAGTGAAGGGTCTCTGTCTTTTTACACTCTTGTCTACCTTTTAGAATTGCATTCTACAATAAACCAAGACAGGTTTCTCTCACAGTAGATCTTCAGTGCCCCAGTTGAAATCCTGAAGTGACCTCCGCAGGTGTCCCACTGTCTAGTCCTCCTGGCCATGCAGTTTGAATTGAGTTCACCAAACGTTGGCCTAAGAAGTCTAGAGCAGTTTTTGTCAGCCAGTGGTACGAATACCCTTAGGGGTACTCGAGAAGTCTGGGGGGTACGACTAACTGGAGAAAACTGAATTTTTGTTTTGTTTTACAGCGCTTTATTATTTTTGTACTTTTTACACCCAAAAATTTAATCGCCCGCCCAGCTACAATTAAGTCATTTAAACAAATGTGTTGCAATGGTAGAAAAAAAATTGTGTGTCTGAAAACTGTAGGTACTGGGGATACTTCTAATTTTTTTTAAAAGGGGTACATTATAAAAAAAAAAAAGTTGAGAAACACTGGTCTAGAGAGTCTCCTTTTAAACCCTTAATGTCATGCCTTAAAATTTGTTGGAGGCTTACATTCTCTTCTTTTTTCTCCATCAGGGAATAAAAGACTGAGATTAGGAATTAAATCCCAGACTCTTGAATGGCAGAATCCATAATGTTTTATTAATATAAGTAATATTATTAATAACAATATTACTGTATGTTATACTTTTATATTTATTTGTATTACATAGCACCTAGTAACCCCGTCATGCACCTGAACTCCATTGCGCTATGCTCTGTATAAACCCAGAACAAAAGAGCAGTCTCTTCCTCCAGGAGATTACATCCTATACAATATCAGTGAAGCAGTCCTGAATTCTACTGCTAAGCCAGAATACTGTCTGAGGCAGGTTTTTTGTTTTTTGGTTCTTACAGTAAATATACAACTCTACTCGAAGATAGCGAAAATAGACTGCGGCTATTCCCATCCATGTGAGTATTGCCTTCACCATGTTGCTATTAGAAAAAGTGACAGTATGAATTTAAATTTTGTGTAATACCTTGTAATATTTTATATAAACTAATGGCTCACCCTTTCTACCCTGGATTTTTAGGAAGCCATCTGGGAGATTAGAAGTCATCCAGCTGATGAAGGTGATGGACACAATGCTGGAGAAGGTTGGAGCAGATGATGATCAAATTGGGATAACAGGACCTACACAGGTAATGTCTTGCCAAAACCCTGAGAAATAACATCTTGTATACCCTAGTGTTAAAGATGTCTCCCAGTGGTTTAATTCTAAGACTATATGCTAATGTGGATCTTCCTTCTCATTCTGGTACTACTCATGGAGACTGTTGCTTGTTGAGGATACCCTCTTGGGTTTTGGTCTGGTTCATGAAGACTGACAGGTTGGCACCATGGCATTAAATGTTGGAGTTTCCTGGTGTTAAAGTTGCCAACAGGATATAATTTGAATGGTTACTGTGAAAGAATTAAAGCAGCAGATGCCTGATCATAATTACAAAAGGAGACCCTACAGCTTTTGATGCAAGATGACTGAGAAGTGTTAAAAGCTGGGCCTTCAGAAATCTGTCCAGCCCGGAAACAAGGTGTCAGAGAATCTCCCTATCTTGGGGTTATCTTCAGGTATTCTGTGCACAGAACTGGGGCTGATTTGGACCTAAGGGCAAGATACTAAAAAATACTCAATAGCCATCTAACTGTTTCCATTGGAGTTAACAAAAGGGTTCCATCAATGTGGATGGGAGCAGAGTTTGGCTTATACTGAAAACCATACCATTGAGCTAATGACCAATGACACTTTCTCCGCTGCACTGGATTATCATTTTTTTCTTTAAAAGAAATCTATCACAAGTGTTTTGTTTTTTAAAACTTTTATTTTAACGTCATCACTGTCAAAGGGTAAATTCCTTAACAAAGTCTGCAAAGACTCTGGTTTTGTTTTTTGCCAGCTGCACAATGTGTTGGAGGTGCTGAAGGTAGAGCAAAATATTTACAACATAGTGTTCCATGAACTGATTCGACAGGTCAGTGTGGATTGTGCAGAGAGAGGAGAACTGCTTTCTAAGCTTAGGTGAGAATTCAAAGCTCCTTTTCAGATTATGGCTTTGTTCTGACTAGCTTGGTATTTCATAAAACCATCTTGCCTCCAGGAATGTTAAAAATAATGAACTGTCATTCTCCTCAGTACCGCTGCCCTATTCTGTATAAGTGATGTCTAGTGGGAGAACCTGTGAGTAGAGCAGATTAATTGAGAGCTTCTTTGTGATCAAGGGTTTTATACCATTCTCTCAGATGCGTGTTTTTGGCACAATGAACTAGCACTAGACTATTAAAATCCTGGCTTCAAAAACTCAGAAGATTATATTATAAAAATGTCAATACTCAGTAGAAAGAGAATCATCTCCTAGATATTGGATTAGCAGATTTGCGTTCTCAGAAAGTTAAGTTTTTTCCAGTTTACTGTGTGTCTTTCTATTATAGGCAGAGGTACGTGGGTCTGCTGGATCGGATCCCTCAACAGATGAGAAACCTTTACAAAGAAATGATGGCACAACGAGTAATGGACAGGCATCTTACAGAAGAGTTACACAATTTCAAGGAATCTGTTGGACAGCTGACCAGGTCTGAATAATAACTGATCCTTAAAAATCTACCTTCTGTGCAGTAGATTTGTTACATGTTCTGCTCTTCCATGGTTTTTGCTCCATGTTTTATATTGTGGCTCAGAACAGTACTGGCCGCCTTATTTTTTATGCAAAGTTTTCCCCCCACATTCTTATTCAGCACCAGTTATGTAGAACAGAACAATGACTGACAGCAAACTCTTTTCTGTTTCTTCAAATCAGGGTGGATAATAATTTATAATTAAAAAAAAAATCAAAAAAGAGTTAATTTTAAATTAAATAGAACTTATTCAATTTAAATTAAATTAAATTTAAAAATACATTTGAAATCACGATTGCCTATGTTAAGACCTAAGTGAATTTTAAGCTATTGAAATAATTTAAATTAAATACTAAATAATAGTGAATATTTGCTATGAAGTTTTAAAGAAAGTCAAACCACTGAAATGATAGCAGTCACTTGGCAGGTATTTAGAACCAAAGTATGAAGTATTAAATCAGCTTTTGACAACAGTAGCTTCTTCTGCTTGTGCAGAGAAAGTATTTTGTTCATTTTAGTGTATTCGTGTGGTTCAGTTCAATGACTAGTTCATTAAAAGTTTTTTAAAAAACCCACTTGGGATTGAAAAAGCTGGAACACTTGTTTTCCTCTTCCACGCTATGAATAAAAACTAGGTGTGAGGAGATGAGATCTACTAGTTCTAAAATGTCAAAGGACCTGGTGACCAGAAACAGTTCAATTCATTAAATGCAGATACCTTCTTTGTTATATACATTCGTTAATTTTAAATGCAAAACTTATTTTGATAAACTTTTTAATAATCTTTTTTACATATCAAACATATTTAAAATAGTTTTAATTAATAAATAAAAGGATGTGTTGGTGTATTTTTCATTGATTATGAATTTCCATTCAAACAGAGCTTAACACAAATCACAAGTAAATAATTAATCTTCATCTGGTAAATGCGAAATATATCCTTCACCATTTTCTAACTTAAAAAATGGAAAAACTAAGAGTCACAATAAATGTAGAGTAAGTTATGTTATTGCTTAAATAAATGTGTATAGGTATGGTGCATCTTCTTTGTTTGCAACAAGAAGCACCACGCTTAGTATAAAGACTATATTGAGTTGCAGATTAATATGTTTTATGTTACTAATCAGTGAGAATCAAACTTTCTTTAGAAAAATAACCAAAAAGTACAAATGCAAAACATGATTAAAGTTGATGATTTAAATCAAGATTTTCTGTTTTCTAATTTCAATCATGATTAAAATTGGTGATTTAAATAGCTTTCATTTAAATTCATCTATCCTGTTTCAAATGTAATTCAAAGCAGTCTGCATACAGAGAGCCTTAGGCAAAATATATGGACAAGAAGACCATAGAATTTTGCGTCCACTGGAAGGAGATAAAGATCCCTTAAGATGAGTTGACTTGACTGTTTGAATAAGGGGAGCACACAGGACAGCTGAGCACACTCTGGATTGAGGTTGGTAGGTTGACTCTGAATTGCTGATTACAGCACGCTGTGATATGACTGTTCTGTTCTATTCCAGTGAGCTGCGCGAGGTCCGAGAACGCGACGTCAGGGTGACCAAAGAAGCAGAACGGGTCCATGAGGAGATGGCTGAAGCAGTCCGGGATGCTGAGCTGAATGCAAAGTAAGTTCCGTTAGCCCAGGGAAGATTGGTGTTCAGGCGACATTTCTGAGTCAATAAGATGTCTTTGAATTGAAGGCAAAGCACATTCTTCTCTGTTGCTTCATAGGGGATGTGGCACAGTGTTTAGTCTGAGTGGGAAGGGATGTGGCACAGTGATTTCTCTCTAGGGCATTGCAGAGCGGTGGTGAAATATTGATTTCTCTCTCTCTCTCTCTGGGAAAGTGGTTATTTCCATGCAGTATACCGCACAGAAATCTCTCTTATAATGCCGAATTTCTCAATGGGATAAGTTGTTTTAATGGCTCAAGTTTTAACTATTAAAAAGTCCTTTGTATTTGATGGCTACGTATTTTCACATTTTAATGATTTTGACTAAGTACTGCCTCCTCCTCTTCCTCCCAGTTCTGAGTTCCTTGTCCCTTGACACTCTGGAAAAACCATCATGGACCTCATACAATCTCAATCTCTGAGGGGCCAACTGGAGCAGAGTGTATCAGACTCCGTCATTGAGTAATGAGACACCTGACCCAGGGAAGGTTGCATTATGAATAGAAGTCGGCCTGAGCCCAGCGGAGACTTGTCTCCAGATTTGTTGGAAACTCACAACGGGCATATCAGTAAAAGGCCCTATTTGGGGTTCAGGGAAAAGGAGCTATGGATTGGCAGGCCCGCGGGTGTGTGGTAGTTGAGGAAAGGGAGCTGGCTGAGGCAGATGTCTGAGAAATGTTTAGAAGCTGCAAGAAAGATAAAAAAAATAGGCTAGGAGGAGGGGGGGCGTGGATTCCAGCAGTGTACCTCTGTCATCTTCAGTGCAGCATAGTTGTAGCCATAGCAATCCCATGATATTAGAGAAACACGGAGAGCGAGGTAATATCTTTAATGGGAACAGCTTCTGTTGGCGAGAAAGTGTGTCTCTCTCACCAACAGAAGCTGGTCCCATAAAAGATATTACCTCACCCACATCTTGTGTCTCTGTCTTCTTCTCTCAGTCTTGTGGAAGAATATCGTGAGTTGTATGAGTTACAGAGAGCCAGGCTTCAGACCCAGCTGTTCCAGTTAACCCAAGAGAAGGAAATCTGGAGCTCAGCTACATATGACCTGGCAATGAAGGTTGGTATAGACAGCATTATGGAGGACACTGCCTTACTACCGGATACAAACCATCGTAGCCAATTCCTGCTTATGGATTTCCAAGGCAGGTTTTGTTTCACCAAAATCTTGTTCTGTTGTTAGTTAAAATTCCAGACCGGCCAAGACTACTTTTCCTAGGGGATGACTGCTTTTTGGTTATTATAACTGTGGAGACTGATGGATCTGGATATTGTTTTCCTGGTGCTGAGCTTCAGGCTCAGTGCAAGAGGGTTGGTAGTAGTTCATGTCAGTGGGAGGCCATGCTGACTCACTACGGGCCTCCAGAGTCCGGGGCCCTCGGCCTGGCTGCAGGACAAATCTCAGTTCTAAAGGCCTCGCTCTTATGCAGGACAGGGCAACAAACAACCAACAGTCTCTGGTAACCCAGGTGGCAGTCCAGAGGCCATGCCCTAGTTTGGGTATGGGCCAGTAAACAAACAAACAGTTTTGAATAAACTGGTCGGCAGTCTATATGCCCTGGGACAGGGCGGGGCAACAAACTGTCTGGCAAACAGGTAAATAGTCCACAAGGTTTAAAGGCACCAGCCTATGTGCATGCCGGGCCAAGGTCGGGTGGCGGAGAGCCAACAAGTGCAGGGGTTTTTTTGCCACCCAGGGGGAACCTGCCACCCTAGGGATGGAGTGGCAGGAGGGACGCAGGCCCTCCCTACTCCACCACGTCCCAGCCCAGGGCCCGAATAGTGGCGATGCTGCGGCCACTGGATTGGTGGGGTTCCAGGCTGTCCAGGTCACTGGGTCAGCGGGGTTCCGAGCGGCAGTGCACTGCCCAGCTGATCTCCATGTCCTCAGCCGCCCCAGGATCAGCTTTCCCTGGGCCACTTCCCTGCTCCCCCTGGGGGCCTACCTGGCTAGTGGAGCTAGAGCCAGTTACCTCCCCGGCTGTTCTCAAACCTCCTCACCACTCCCCAAAAAACACTCCCATTGTAAATAACCGTGTCCCTTGCAGGTGATTGAAAGAAACCAGCTGACGTTGGCTCGCAGGCTCTATGTTAGTGAAAAGGCATGGACCAAAATCACCAAGCACTTTGTAGTGCTTCTGGCATCCCAGGTAGAGCCCAGTTTGTGATGCATGACTGTTCTGGAGAAGTATGTTTGGAGAGCTTGTGTCAGTGTAGGGTCCACCTGTCTCAGTGCAGAATTTCATGCTTCCCAGTTACTATTTGAACTTTATAGTCTTGGCTCAGGGTTGAATGAACATTATGGTTTGAATAGGTTTTCTTTCTCCCCATCTCTTTCTCTTCCTCTCCCTGATGTTCTTTCTTGCTCTTCTCTGTCCTTTCTCTCTCTCTCTCAACTCTCCTCATCTCTGTTTTCCCTTCTCTTCGTAGCTTTTCCTTCTTCTCTCCTGTTCATCCTCAGAGGACTAAGCCAAATTTGTGCTAGTGTAATTGTATCCTCAACAGTGCTGGCCCAGCATGTTTGCCTTCTGATATTTCAGCACAACACAAAACTCGGGTACTGAGTTGAGTCAAGTGTGCCTCAGTCCTCATGCTGTTGGTGAAATATGCAGCTCCCAGGGCCATTGTGTATGCTGTGGAAGTAGGTACTTTGTCATAAAACTGAGTGGTCATTGTTCTGATCCCAGTGAAATGGAAGGCCCCTTTGCTTATGGCTCTCTCATTTGCTCTTGTGATGCGTACAGGACACAGCAGACCTTTCCGATTTGCAGGAGATGACGGAGCAGTTCAGGGAGTTGTTGGGCAGCATTGGAATTGAAGTGGAACAGGCTGAGAACTCCAGCAGGAAGAAGCTGCAAATTGTTCAGAATAGCCTTAACAAGTGGATGCAGTACTTCCAGGAGCATGTTTTGTGAGTGTGCAGGGGTGATTGTTAAATTTGCGCGGGGGTACACTTGCTACCTCCACCTCCATTGTGTGACAGAACATTGCAGTGCACCAAATCTGGCATCCTGTATGCAGCCCAAACCCCCATTAGCTGGAGGATTTGGCTCACTGGGTGCAAGCTGCATATACCGTAACCATTTTTCTGTTGGGCTTGCTATCTGTTTACTGTACTTTGAAAGCCTTGTCCACAGTTGAAATCTGTCAGCTCCAGTATGGTGATGTAGACTTCTGTTCATGCCTTCTGCAATAACTCTTACTCCCCCACTGAAAACAAGAAACAAACAAACAAAAAAAGGTTTCATAGTAAACTGAGAGATCTGTTTGTTACCATGAGGACTTTGCAGTGAATGGAAAAAAATGATCACCTAAGATGAAACATTACTAAAATACAAGAAGCACCTGATAGAGGTATATAAAATCATGAGTGGTGTGGAGAGGGCAAATAAAGAAAAGTTATTTATTAGTTCCTTAAATAGAAGAACTAGAGGACACCAAATGAAATTAATGGGTAGCAGGTTTAAAACTAATAAAAGAAAGTTCTTCTTCACACAGCGCGTAGTCAACCTGTGGAACTCCTTGCCAGAGGAGGCTGTGAAGGCTAGGACTATAACAGAGTTTAAAGAGAAGCTAGATAATTTCATGGAGGTTAGGTCCATAAAAGGCTATTAGCCAGGGGATAAAATGGTGTCCTTGACCTCTGTCAGAGGCTGGAGAGGGATGGCAGGAGACAAATCGCTTGATCATTGTCTTCGGTCCACCCTCTCTGGGGCACCTGGTGCTGGCCACTGTCGGCAGACAGGATACTGGGCTAGATGGACCTTTGGTCTGACCCAGTACGGCCGTTCTTATGTTCTTATGTATGTTATGTTCACCTTAAAGAATAACAAAACATGTAAATGGTATCATGAGCTTTCGTAGGTACAACCCACTTCTTCAGATGAATGGAGTATTAAAAGTCCAATTACAAAATAAATAGGGAATAGGGGCAGGGAGGAAGGGAAAAAATAGTGACTTAGAGTGTTCATGTTACAAGAAGCTGATAGAGAAGGTGCAAATTGTTCTTAGGTACCCATTGTTTGGTTGGTTAAGTCATTAGGATGTGGAAGGTAGTGAGCTAGCCATGTCTTTATTCATACTTTTGTGATGGCTCCCAAAATTGTAATTGAAGTTAAGTTCCAACACTTCCCTATGTATTTGGCTTGTGGAATTGGCTTGGCTAACAGCGTTTAATTTTTATTTAGCACTGTACTGTATTTGTTTTGTGTAATTTTGCTTTGTCTCTGCTGCTGCCTGATTACATAATTCTGTTTCTAAATGAGGTCTGTGGTTGACTGGTCGGTTCATAACTCTGGTGTTTGTAACTCTGAAGTTCTTCTTCGAGTGATGTCCCCGTGGGTGCTCCACTACAGGTGTCGGGCTCGTCCCGGCGCCGCAAACCGGAAACTTCTTCGTAGCAGTAGCCCCCTTCGGAGGACCGCGCGTGCGCAGTGTGCCCCGCGGCGTTCGCGCCTTTTCTGCGTCGCGCGGTCCGACCCGCCAGTTCCTCCTAACCGTCCACGGCCGCAGACGGATCTGGAACACGCTCCTCTCCTGAGGAGAAATCGTTTAGTCAGAAAATTAGATATATGTTCAGTTGTTTTCCCAGTTAGCCCCTTCCCAACGTAGTGTTAGTCAGTGTTATATCGTTAGTTAGTTAGATTGGTTAATTGTTTAAAAAAAAAAAAAAAAAAAAAACACCCCTGTTACTTCAACCCCCTGTTTTAATCCCGGGGGTTACACCCGCACAGCGAACCATGCCCGGTTCTCCCGGGTTCAAGAAGTGCGCATCATGCGGCGAGGCTATGCCGGTGTCGGATGGCCACTCCCGCTGCATTCGCTGCCTAGGGGAGGGCCATATCCCTCAGAAGTGTGGCCATTGCGCCAAGCTAACGGCGCGCACGAGGCGTGACAGAGAGATGCGCCTTAAAATGCTCCTCTTCAACAAGGCTCTTCAGCCGCCGACGTCAACAGAGCGAGAGACCGAGGGTACGCACAAGACCAAAGAAAAGGCCTCCGCTTCGTCCAGGAGCCTAAGTGCGGCAGACTCGAGAGCCGCGTCGGGCCACCCACAGGCGATGGAAAAGCCTTCCAAAGCCCGTAGCACATCGGCGCCGAGCCCCGCACTCTCTGTGGCATCGGCCCCGCCAACCCGTCCGGAGTCGGCACCATCATCAGCGGCACCGAGCCTCCGAGCGGCACCGCAGCCGGATTCGGTGCGGGCCTCGGCACAGAGGCAAT